TTTCTCTCTCCCACAGCTCAACACTGAATACCACAGTTTACAGAACAGCTCACAAAAATCTAGAATCACTGTACTGTAAAATAACTAAAAGCACTGCTTAGTTTCATGCTAACCCATCTGAAAAAAAGCTAGCACAGCAAAAAACAATGGTATTGAATTTCAGTGGCCAAACAAGCAGGATTTGTAATACACAATTTATTTGCCCATCTTGTGGCAGATAAAACAGTCATGCAGTCCTGCTTTCTAAATACAAAACACTTCAAACATTCAGCTTTCTTTATGATGAATGAATTTATCTTATCTTAAATAAATGCATCATCTGAAGTTTTCATTTTTATAGGCATAAAAGTATCTCAGGCACATCCTTTGTACTTGCATTACTGTTGTTACATAGGCAGGGAAAAATATTTGCCCAGGAGCCTTTTTTTTTTCCCTGAAAGTATGTGATATATCCTTCCAGACCTTCCACTAAGCAATCAAGTGCTACAAAGTTTGCTAGTCTTCCAGCTAATCCTCATATGTAGTTCTGAAGTAATATAAATATTTTGTAAATAAATGTGTTTTTGACACCCACTACCTGTCAAATATGAGCTTTATTATTTAATGGCACTAACATTTTTAAATAAATGACAAACTAACACTTAATATCTATAGTCCGAGGAAATAAAAAGAGAATTAAATACCTTTACATCTCTAAGGAGAAGAATCTATGCTCTAATTTATTGTCTCCGACCTAAAATTAACTCAGAGTAACAAAATTCTCATCCTGTTCATTCCCAGGCTATTGTGGCTATTACAAGCCACATGGTCAGAGGGATTCCATACTTCTTGTTTTCACGGCCAGCATTCTTCTACACAAAAAGCTTGCTGTTGGGCTATTGAGTTATTCTAAACATTCAACTCTTTATTAACTACTTGAATATGTTTCCTAATCCACATAAATGCAAATTTAAAGTATTTTCGTCATGAAAGATAATATTTTGTCCTAAAAAAAATTGCCAAATTGTAAAAGTTCCAATTTTCTTGTCACATCTACAAAAAGATAAAAACATGTACAACAGAAGACTCCAAAAGTCTTCAAGTTCACTTACTTCCTTATTTTATGGAGAATAGTCCGTTTACTGGTATAAAATCATAGAATGTTTAAGGTTGGAAGGGACCTCTAGAGGTCATCTAGTCCAACCCCCTTGTACACACAGGGTCACCTAGAGCACATGGCACAGGACTGCGTCCAAGTGGGTTTTGAAGATTTCCAGAGAAGGAGGCTCCACAACCTCTCTGGGCAGCCTGTTCCAGTGCTCTGTCACTCTCACTGTTAAGAAATTTTTCCTTAAGTTCCTGTGGAATACTTTCATACTTTAATTTCTGGACCTTTCTGCTAGTTCTATCAGTGGCCACCACTGAAGAGAGGCCAGCACCATCCTCCTCACTGCCTCCCTTGAGGTACTTAGATACACTGATCAGGTCTCTGTAAGTAAACATTACATTTCCTCAATAGAACCCTCACTTCAAGTCTTACTGTTAATTTTGCTAACAGTTATATGATTTCTTCCTTGTGAGATCTGAATAGCTGAAAATAACACACCTAGGAACAGCACATACCTCCCAAACATTGAGCCTTTCTGCTCTATACAGATATCCAGTGTTCCAGGATGTTTTAATAGGAGACTTAGGTTTGTCTTATGGCTCTTGCCCAAATCCTTCTAACATGCAACTTAAAACAAGCAAAAATAACAATGCTAAAAAGTGTCAACTAGCTAAGTCTTCAATGTTCCATGAAACCTGAGAAATGCTTTGGTACCACTTTTAGAAGAAATATATTTGCCTGTCATCAAGATCACAGAGAAAAATATACTCCTTTCCAAAGTTGCAAAAGCTAACAATTCAGAAAAAAAAAAAGGCAGTAAAACAACACTTAATGGGTACATTTTGCTACATGTTATATTTGGTAGCAAAGATTTGTGATGTATTCATTTAATGTAATGCCTTCACTATCTATGACTGAGTTAAGGAGTATGTTCCCAGCTATAAACTATGCCAACATTATATTTTAGTGCTAAAGTAGTTACAGGCAACAGATTAGTATCATACATATGAGGCATCCACCGGCATTATGAAGATTTAATGTGGTTCCCTCTTACCCTTTCTCCCCCTCAAAATCAACATGCAATTCAAACAAATCTGGAAAACTCCAGCTATTACAACACTCAAGCTTTACTGAAAAAATACACTTGAAGAGCTTAAAAACAGATACTTTTCTTTGCACATTCAAAAAATAAGAAAACTAGAACATATGAGCAGAAACTGAAATATGTTCCAAGTATAAATACCTCAAAAGCACTTTACTATCGCAATACACAAAACTGCAAGCACGTTCTAGTCTCTTTTACTAGAGAGAAATGAAGTTTGACCACATCATTTTGAACCTCCAAGCAGCTACAACCCATACTAAAATGTTGTTACTTGTTATTATACTTGTCATATTACGCTGCTGTTATAACATACATGTTTATATCCATGACATGAAATAGGAAATAACTAAGCACTCCCCCTCCATCCCGTCTTCCCAGCGACTCTCACCTTTGCCGCTGGCTTTTTGGGCTTGGGCTCCGCTTTGGCAGGAGCGGGTTTCTAAGGAGAAAGAAGAACGAGTCAGGGGGTGTTTTATCCTTCACTCCCCCTCCATCCCGAGGGAACCCCGCGGTACTTACAGCGGAAAGCCGCGCGGACCGAAATAACTAAGCACTCCCCCTCCATCCCGTCTTCCCAGCGACTCTCACCTTTGCCGCTGGCTTTTTGGGCTTGGGCTCCGCTTTGGCAGGAGCGGGTTTCTAAGGAGAAAGAAGAACGAGTCAGGGGGTGTTTTATCCTTCACTCCCCCTCCATCCCGAGGGAACCCCGCGGTACTTACAGCGGAAAGCCGCGCGGACCTCCTCTTGGGCTGAAGGCGAGAGAATAAGGCACACGGTGAGCGCGCGGAGCGAAGCCGCCGCCGCCGCCC